TCCCAATATCCTGCATCCCAATATCCTGCATCCCAATATCCTGCATCGCAATCCACCTGCTGCACGAGCCATCAGCCACCTCTGAGTGCTGTGCAAAGCCCCTCCTCGCACTGAGGAGCTCTCTAGGAACAGAATTGATGGATCCTTCCTAAATCTCAGCTACAAAACACCCCCAGGACCCACGGCCACCTGCAGCCACCCCCACAGCCGGGCAGACGCTCTCCAGTCTCTCCATAAGCAAGAGCAGCGTAGGAGGATGTCAAATATGCTTAAAATGTGTATGGATTGCAAGGCCATAAATATTTGAAGGGCTTGAGTGAATCTGCTCTAACGTTGTACCAAGCTCCACTGCCCCTCAGCCCTTCCCTGAGCCGGGGATGCCAAAGGCCAGAGCAGCTATCCCGTGCTCACTGACACTCCAAATAAAGACCAGGATAATTGCAGCACTTACACAAGAATAGAGTGCATTCAGAAGAGTCCCTTCTGGCTTCTGTAGTTTATCAGAGGATGTTTCTTCCCCAGCACACCTATAAGAAACGTTCCAGAGCACTGCCCCTCCCCATGCCCTGTGTGAGGGCTGCTTCATGCCAGGCTGCTCACTTGGAAGAGTGTGGCAGCCAAATAGCCCCGTATTTCCTTTGCCTGGACACTGAGAAAACAGCAGGAATGGGAATGCTCCTTCAGCAACACCGACACACCAACACCACCAGCACAGTCTGGACCAGCACCAGTCTGCCCAGGAAGCTGCTACAGATCATGGAATCATGGAATGGTTTGGGTTGGGAAGAACCTGAAATCTCATCTCATTCCACCCCCTGCCATGGGCAGGGACACCTTCCACCAGCCCAGGTTGCTCCAAGCCCCGTCCAACCTGGCCTTGGACACTTCCAGGGATCCAGGGGCAGCCACAGCTTCTCTGGGCAACCTGTGCCAGGGCCTGCCCACCCTTCCTTCCTACTATCCCATTTAACCCTGCCCTCTGGCAGTGGGAAGCCATTTCCCCTTGTCCTGTCAGTCCAGACTCTTGTCCAAAGTCTCTCTTAAGCTCTCTTGGAGCCCCTTTAGGTGCTGGAAGGGGCTCTAAGGTCTCTCCCAGTCTGTCTCCATTGCAGAGGAGCTCCAGCCTCCTTTAGAGACATGGAGAAGGATCCAGCTTGTGTTACAATAACAAACGAAACAGGCAAAAGCAAACCTGACAGTACATAAATAAATAACCCCCTTGGCACTCACTTTTGGAATAAATAAACACACAGCTCTAAACTGCCTCGGTGGCACTGACCTCGAGAGCCCTTGGAGGAGTCCCCAGAGCCCCATGGTTGGGACAAAGCTGGACCTGGGCTGACACCAGCAGGTTATGGCTCCTTGTTATCACTTCCAAGGGCTGGATGTGAAGCTCCATCTGATGTCTCTGATGCAGCAGCAGGGCAGTGGGCACAAGGGCATCTCCTGGGTGGTGGCCGTGTCCCCTGCCTGCCATCAGCCCTGTTCCCCTGTTCCCATGGCAATCCCAGCCCTTCCAGCTGCACCCAACATTGACTTTTCCTCTCTCTCCATAGAAATCCGTGGAACAAAGGGAGCTGAGCCAAGCAGGCAGTGTGTGGGGGTCAGCACACAGTCACTCCTTCCAGGGTGATTTATGGGCCCAAGTCCCGAGCAGAAGCCAACGCTGGAGCCATCCCGGGTGGCTTTGTACTCTTATCCACGTCTTGTGGAGACTGCACAGGGTGGAAAACAACACCCAGCTCAACCCACCTCCTGACCCTCAACCCACCTCCTGACCCTCAACCCACCTCCTGACCCTCCCGTGTGTCCTGCAGGCACCACAACCCCCGAGCCACTGCCCAGCCCCGGCCGTGCCCGCTGGAGGTGGCACTTCCCCACAGGGGTGAGGAACACGCAGGCAAACAAAGAGAGGGAATGGGAAGTCTCATGTTAAGAGAACTGGTTCGAAGAACAACCCATCATTCCAGCTCAGGATCAGCTCCTTTGTGCCTGGGGAAGCTGCCCCTCCGTGGTGTCCCCCCAGCAGCCCCAGGACACGGGCAGGAGTGACAGGGCCCATCAGCACCAGCTCATGGGCACAGGGATCAACCCTGTCCCAAAAACACGGGGATTAACCGTGTCCCAAAACACGTGTCTCGGGAGGAGCCCGGCAGGGCTGGGAATTACAGAATTACACACCGCCCACGCAACCTCCGAACCCAATCAGCCGAAAACGCCTCAGCCATCGCTCCCCATTACACTCGATGACATCCTGGAACAAAATTCCACGTGCTAATTACAAAGCCCTCTGGAAACAGGATCGCTCTCGCTCGCTGGCACTGGGAAAGCCTCAGCCCCATCACTTTCCTCCCAGCCCGTTACTTGTGGATTTATTTAATTCCAGAGGACTTTGCCCAGGGGCCCATGTGTTACTGCTGGCAGTGGGAAGCATCCCACAGGGCAGGGAAGAATCCCTGTCAGCATTATTTATGGCTCACTACATTGGATTCATTTGGTATTAGCACCTTATTCGTGCCCAGAACAAGCCCTGGGTGTCAGGCTGAGGGACACGGTACCCAGCGAGGACCAGAGCACTGTGCAGGGGATGTGCAAGCTCCTGCTCCTGCCTGGAAGCACAGCAGGGCAGAGGCAGCTGCCAGCTCCCCTAAACCCCCTAAACGGCCCCGAGGACCCTCAGCTTTGTCCCAAAACTCAGATGAAGAAATCTGTCACCAAGCAGAAGTCACAGGCAGTTACAGCCCCATCAGTGGGCTCAAGGAGTCGCTCCCAAAAAGTAGTGACAGGCTGGGGAATCATTCCCTGCAGGTTTGGGGGTTTATATCAGCCTGCAAATGGGAATGATGCCAATCTGTGAACGCTCGGGGAATAAATGCTGTGAGGGAGAAAGGAAGGACAGCATTGACAAGGGTCAGAAGGGGGGCAAGTCCAGGATGAGAAGATTCAGGATGAGAAGAAGAACCTTAGTATTGAGGAAGAGCCCAGGAATGCTGAAATTTTGGTGGGACCTCAGTCCAGGAGAGTTATCTTGGATGAGCTGAGGCTTGATTCAGATGCAGTCCCTGTGGCACAGGGGTCACAGAATCCCTGTACAGATGGAGTGTCCCTGGCACAGTGAGGGACACTCCCAATATCCATCACACCTCCATTGCCCTGGCCCTGCCCCACTGTCACTCCAACCCCAGCCCTCCCCTCTGCTCCTGTGTTTCTGTTGCCCTCACATCTCTTCTTTTCCAATGGCCCCAGGAGCTCCAGGTTTTCAGGTCCCAAAAACACTCTGTTCTCATTCCATATTTCCTTTGGAGAGCCGTTCTTACTTGCAAGCCAGAAATATTAGTCAGCAAACTATATAGTGCAAGCCTAATGAGAACTAAATTGATTCATGAAAAATACCTGTTCAGCACGTTTATTATCTGTTTTTCAAACATAACTCTATTGGATTCCAGCTTTTTTCCTTGGTCCCCATATACTGTCCATTCCATGAGCTAAATGTATAAGGGGTTGTTGCAGTTCCTACAAACTGCCTGATCTGTATGTTCCTAAAGCCTCTCTCCAGCTCCAGAATGGCTGACTCAATTTTTGTCTTTTTTTATTAAAGAAGAAAACCCAGCTGGATGGCAGCTGGATGGACATTTCCCTCGGGATCCCATCCTGTGTACCAGGGTAAAAGCCAACACGATCTGAAAAAGCCACTACAAACCCTCTGAAAAGTAGAAGCCCCTCATCAATATGACAGATATGCCACTATAATTAAAGTCTTCAGTAACAGACATTATGCAGCCAAAATATTCTATTTCCGGCAGCAGCATTGTTCACATCCTGACGTCCCATATTAATGAGCTGAGGCCTCACTGGCCATGGAAGCTGTTGTTAATTGTTATTCAAAAAAGCACCTTGTCTGTCTGGTGAGACACAGGTACCTGGCAGGGACTGACCCCCTTGATTCACTCCTCCTGCAGCATCCCGAGCCATCCACAGGCTTTATCCCTGCTCTGGAGTCCAGGGCTGGTGTTCTTTACTGCCAGACAGGAAAGATTAAAATACATGTGAACCTTGAATTTCCAATGAGCTGCTCAGTGCAGAGAACTGGCTCTCCCAGGGAAGGAAAATGGGACTCAACGTTCACTCGGCTCCCTCAGGACGGCAGCTGTCCGGAGGCTCCCGGCCCAAACAGCCAAAGAAAGTCTGTTCAAACTGTTGGGACAAAATCAGAGCCAGCCCATGGCTCCGAGCCCTGCAGTGCCCGTGCTTCTCCAGGAGGGATTTCCCAACCCTTCCATTTCCCCAGCACAAAGTACATCCTACAGAACCAGGCAGGTTTTCAGTCTGTTCCCTCATCCACAGAGGAGCAGTTTCCACTTGCATCAACTTTCCCGGCCAGGACCAGAGACTGGACAATTTGGGAAAATAAACACCCCCTGGTTTCCATAAAGAGAACTGGGATCATCCACTAGTGGAAGCACAAAGTTGATCCTGTGGATTGAAGCACAGCTCTGCCCTCCCCAGTGGTTACATAAAAGCGGCCCCGCCGTGGTGGGAGCGCGGCTCTGATGGGATCTGCAGCGACAGCCGCTGACTTCGCTGAGGAAAATCAGATTTTCCTGGATTTTACCCCTGTGGCCCTCACACATGACAAGCCAGAGGAAACAAGACAGCATCTTGCATTCTGTGTGTGCAGAATTAACTGAATTCCTCACGAAATTTCAGCTGCCAAGTTGCTCCCGCGGACGGAGACAACGGCGCCGGTGAAGGGGATGTGCTCGGACAGGAATTACCAAAGTGTGATTAAGGGCAGAGCAGGGCCTGCAGCTTTAAAACAATAACACAGGAGGAGCAATGCACCCAGCTGCTCCCTGGGATCCCACTGAATCACTCTCTGCAGTTAGAGAAATCCTGGTTTTGCTTAGAAAAAAGAAGAGCTTTTCTCTGCCAGCATCTGAAGCACATTCACACACCTGCCCCCTGCCCTGGCCCTTCCTGGAAAAGACTCTCAGAAGCAGGCATTTTTTGAAGATAGAGTTATTGAATCTCGGAATAGTTTGGGTTGGAAGAGATCTTAAAGCTCATCCAGTCCCACCCCCTGCCATGGGCAGGGACACCTTCCACTAGCCCAGGTTGCTCCAAGCCCCGTCCAACCTGGCCTTGGACACTTCCAGAGATGGGACAGCTACAGCTTCACTGGGCAATCTGTGGCCTCACCACCCTCAAGCCAAGGATTTCTTCCCAATATCCCATCTAACCCTGCCCTCTGGAAGGAAACACACTTCCAAAGGCTTTCTTTTCTGGAGAGGAAGGAGCTGATCTCCAAAGAGCCAGTGCATCTCCTGCCAGTGCCCCTCACTGTGCTTTTGCACCAGCACCTCTGGCACCCCGACACAAACCACACAGGCAAACACCCTGCTGGGGCCACACATTTCATTTCACTTCTGATTTTTTATTTTTACTCTCTAGAAGCATCAGTGTTTCATACACTGGCAGGAGCACAGCTCAGAGAGCTGGCGGTGACACGCAGCACCGGGGACCTTCTCTCTGCCATTCCAACCACTCATCCCAGCACAACAACAAAAAGCTTTCATGTCTGTGAGTCCCACTGAACATGTTCCCACACGGAGCCAGCTCGCGTGCCCTGCCCTGCTGCCCTTCACGCTCCTCTTCCTCACCAAGCAAAAAAGCTCTGGCAGCCACGGGGCTCCTGCTGCTCCATCCTCCCAGCAGCTCCCCAGGCACAGAACCTGTCCTGGTTAAGGTGGAGTTGTGCTTATGTGGCAGCTCCAAAAATGTTTCAAGTGTGGATTCCTTCCTGTGGGGACAGAGGACGGAGGGTTTGCCTTTCTCCTGGGCTCAGACAGCAGCTGGCAGAGCTCTGCTGGCATTGGCTGGGGCACGAGGAAAACATCTCTTGGCATGGTGAAGGTGCCACAAAAAATTTGAGTAGATTTTAGAGAGTAATGAAGTCACACAATGGCTTTAATGCAGGGAGAGATACAAGGGGAAAATCCACAAATTCGGATATA